TTACTTTTTATACAACTGTGATTGAAGGTTAATTTCAATAAATGGAACCTTGAAAAGCATCCATGCTGGATGTAATTATTCAAAAATTCACAACGCCTAACAAATGTGGCGTGCAAAATTTTAAAAGTATTAATTTAGTAGTAAAGTGAATTTTTATTCGTTAGGTATGCATATTTTCATTAAAAATATCAATAACGATCGCATAAATGCCAAAAACCCGCATTTTAAAATTTTCTTCAATATTGAATAAAATAAATAAGTAGACAAAAGTATTCACCAAACATACTGTATCAAATCAGTATTAAAAAATATTTTATTTTAATTTTGTTTTATGCTGTGAGATAATTCTTTATAAAGTAGCATTATTATTAAAAAGATAGAAGTTATTTTTTCTAATATGTATTGCCACAATGCACCGAAAGGCCATTTTCGCTTGAAATATTTAAATCTATATTTTCAAAGATATCTTAATTGATATTTCTACTGCTGGATATCAAGCTGTCGAAGACGGGTAGTAAGGACTATCACAAGTACTAATACAAATACTTGGGTCAATATATTTGAATAAAATTTTATTTAACGATATGTTTTAGTTTCCTTTCTCAATCATGAAATTTTAATAGTTATAATATAGAGATCAATATTAATAAATTATAATATGAATAGACATATTATCGACATTTCATAGAAAAAGCAGCGACTACAAAATTTCATGTTGGCCAAAATAACTTTTGACCGCAAGTACATCAAAGGTTATATGGGATTTGCTGAAATTAAAGTGAAAGTTTGAATAACATATTTACTTGACCACTTGGCTTTCATGTTATTATAATAATTATATATCATATACTTGATAATTATAAGTAAATGATACATTTAGAACTGATAAGGCCTCTCTTTCTGTTTCAAAGTACTTAGTGTTTGAATGTTATTTAAAATTACAATAAAGAAATTGAAAGAAAATATTTATCACAAGCAATATTTATCATTTATCATAATCAATTTGCCCTAAATAATATGTATCATACATGAAATATAATGTTGAATTTCATTGATAGTGGTTTAAATTCAATGATAGTGGTTTCGGATATTCTTTACCTCAATAAATAACAAAAGGAAACTTATACGCGAATTGTGCGTCTCTGTATAACAAATATTATTAACCATATTTTCATATATTATATTTGTTATAAACATTTAAGAAAAAAAATAATGTAGAAAATTACTGTAGTATTGTAAAATAATTTTCAAAACATAAGCCAGTAAATGAAATTGCGACGAACTCTACACAAAAGTGCAGAGTTATAGTAATAAAAACCTCAACATGTTCTACTTCTATTTCTACATAAAATCATCATAATAATTCCTTACTTTTATTTTTATTTTTTTTTAAACCATTTAAACCAAAATAACAATTTAAAGTTTTTTTTTATATTTTTAAGCGAGATTTTTGAAATCAGTTAACAATTAGACAAGAATTTGTATTGTCATTGTGAACACTGCAAAAGTTATTTTATCAAATTCATATCGTTTTCTTTAAATAAAACCTTAGATTTTAGATAAAACGTTCGTAACCCATTTGATGTCTCTTTTGTATTACTTGATTGATATGGTTTCATCGAACAATTTGCTGGAAACTATTATATATTTATAATTTAATTAATTCTGTAATTTAAAGTAATTTTTAAATTTATAAAAAATTGCGGTATTTTATAGATTTTTAAAATACACAAAATTACGCTATATATGTACTGTAGTGCGAAACAATTTTTGTGGTCGCAAATAATATTTGAATTTTGAATAATTTTATCTTGATAAAGTACCCTATTTAACACGTTAGGTACAAAAATTAGCAGTCATTTTATTATTAAATCGGTTGAGATATCCAAAATTTGATTAAACACAGATTAGCAGGATTGTCAGATTATCATATTTTAAGCTAATACTACCGAACCGATTTTAAATAATCAAAAACTGTTCGAAAGATATTTGGGAATGATACTGATTAGTTTTAGGTGAAAATCTACCGAGCCGTTTTCTTGTAATTAACTGTTAAAAAAAATTTAAGCCGATTTTCATGGAACTTTTTTGGGCGATATATATCATGGTCTTATAGAACTTACTGAAATATTACGACAAGTAGTTTAATTTTAAAAATTCATCAAAGTTTGAGAAAATGAGTAGTATATATATATATATAGAAAATGCGGTCGCACGCCTTTTGGGGCGCCAAAACGAGATTCGGAAATAAAATTTATAATATATTATTCATATTTTTTAATATAAAATCTAGAATACTTAACAGATTACAATAAACAATCTAACTTAACTATGGATATGCAGAAACAGAAAGCATATTCAGTTTGCAATGTGATATCTGTAAAAACAATTAATTACTCATGCAAATTAGTAAATTATTGTTCTGCTTATTATTTAATGAACTCATTAAATTTTTCTTCAATCGAAGTTAATGTGGAATTGAAAAAGAAATTATCTAGTGTTCAATACCGTAAGCGCAAACCTACGAAAGTTTAAATTATTGGGATGAAAAATTGCGAGGTGATTTAGTTTGAACGGAACTTGTTAAAAAAATAGTTGCAAATTATAATAGAGAAAAATGGGAAATGGGAAGTCAGTGCATAGAAAATGACTATAAGACCGAGAAACTTAATTGTAACTTTTGTATTTGATTAAAAAGTTTCGCATCTGTTTAACTTTGAACTTTGAAGACATGCGTGGTTAGGTTTATGAATATGGAGCAAATATGAAAAATAGAAGCTAAATGTACTTAGAAACAAAACTCCTGAGCTTTTTTATGCCTAGTGGTGTCCATACTAAATTTAATTATTAACTAAGCAGCAATAATACAGATACAAATATAATTGTGTTTTGTTTTCGATATAATTCAGGAAATATGTAATTTCTTTGCATCTTTTAAAATACGTTAAAAATTTAACTTTAAAACAACAATCTGATATTCTGAATCAGATGGGAAAGTGAACATGAATACAATTTGGCTTTACAATATTAATAAGTTACCAGTGGGCTCAGCCCACCCATCAATTTCAAAAAATTATATGGACTAATATCTCTAAAAAAAAAAAAAAACGAGCCCACCCATCAAAAATTTGGTTCAGACGCCACTGTAAGTTACTGATGCAATTTTGGATATTGTAAATAATGAAAAAAAATTAAAATTAAATTTTAAAAATCTAACATGAAAAACAAATGTTATGTTTAAAAATAAAAATGAGTTTAATTAATTAAGTGTTTCATTAAAAATGAAAAATGTTTCCAAACCCAAATATTAATATTACATATATGTTAGAAATACTTGAAAATATAAAATATTTAATTATGGTCAACCCACAAATCGCTTTGATTTTCTAAATAAAATTAAAATCAATGTATTTTATACGCTTTTAGATTATTTCTAATTTTTTGTGAAAATTGTAATTGTAATTTTGTGTAATTGTAAATTTGTGAATTTACGTAAATATTCATATAATTTTAATGATAAATGTTAAAACAGTTAAAATTATTGGGGGGTGGGGGGCGCTAGAACAAATCTTTCATGCGGGCGCTGAAGACTCCAGGACCGGCCCTGTGTATATATATATATATATATATATATATATATATATATATATATATATATATAAGAAATGCAAAGCATTAACAAGTTCAAAGATTATAAATCAAAAATGTCATGCAACAGGTTCCTTGTTTTGTCAAGTTAACATCGAAATTCTGCATACATAAAAGAATACTCTTCTTTTATCTATGCATAAGAGTATCTAAGTTAAATGCATCAAATTAATTAGTCGGCAATATTACTTTAATCAAAAATTCATGTAATTGTACAAGTAATGGTGATGTCTCTATTCCACACTCAATCAAAATAACACGTATGCAGTAATAAATTGATACCATTCTGATGTAACCGATCAAGGTCATTAATATCACTAAATCTACTGGAGTATTACTCGAAAAATTCTTACCTCATTCAAGAACGCCGTCACATCATAAACATTATTATGGATAATAATACAAGCCTTCTGGTTGTCATTGAATTTGGCAACTTCGGCTAATGTGAATTGTTTTTCCGCCATTTTGAAAGCAATTTATAAAATTTATGAACTTTAATTGAAAATATATTACAAGCACCTCACTAATTCAATCTATAATTACAAATGATTATCAAATCTGCCAGCATTTACTCGTGGTGGCAATAAAATGACTGAACTGGTCAGTGACAACTGACAAAGTACACTGTTGAAGAAAATGCTGATTCACTTGAAGTTGGCAGGGGTATGCAACCATAACTAAAATTTAATATTTTGAAATTAAAACTTTGAACATTTTCTTGGAAGATTTAAGCTTTTTGGATTTAAGTAATATTATAAAAGTGTAGTAATTGTAATATAGAAAAAAATAATAAGAACAAAATATAACTTTTTGGGTTATGAATTATTTAGATCAAGCCCAAGTGTCAACGAAGAAACGTTTAAAACCGCAACAAAAATACAATTTGTTTGATATATTCTGTATTACATATACAATGTTATTATACTTGCAAAATTATTTTTCTTATTGAGCAAATTCCAAATCACCAACAGTTAACAAATTTAATTTTAAAAATTCACTTATAAAATTGACAGTGTACTGACCAGTCAGTCGATTGTCTTGTAAGTGCAGTCAACTTGTCATCTTGTCAACTACAAACAAACAATTATTTTATAGTTATAATAAGTATATTTTTATTTTATTTATAAAATGTCACGAATACCTCAGTCAAAAGAAGCTTTATTAAAATCATACAACACAAGATTGAAAGAAGATGTTAAAAGCATGTTAGAAAATTTTGAAGGTATATTATGTTTTATAACCTCAAAATGCAAACTTTTATATTTATGCTCATTGCATTTTAAATTGTTATAGAAATAATTAAATTGGCAAAAGGCGAAAATGAATCACAATTATCAAGAGTGACACAATGTGAACAAGACACCTATGAAATGCATGTACGAGCAGCGAATATAGGTATAAAAATATACATCAATTTCTTCAGTCCATTACATGAATAGTATTAGTTTGCATTTCTCTATTTTAATTATGTTATTTAGTGAATGATTATTTGTTTCTCTCTGTAAGTATTTGGTGGGAGTTAGATGTGGAAAATTATATGCTATTTTTATGGTTTTATTCATTATTCTCTGTATGTCATTTAGGCTTGCTTTAGTTGTTTGGCTCCGTGTTGTTATTCCATATAAAATTATAGGTATTATTTGCGTTTTAAGAATTAGTATTTTATTTTTTTTGCCAACAGAGTGGATCCTTTTCAATGCCCCTGTTAATGTTCCTATCTTTCTTTTTATTTTGTTTATATGTTCTGTCCATGTCAATTTTTCATTTATTATCAGTCCTAAGTATTTTATGCTTTCCACTTCTTCTATTTCTCTATTATTTACTTTAATATTTAGTTTAGTGTTCTCGGTATTTTTTCTATGTTTGAAATATATGTATTTTCTTTTATCGATGTTGTTAGTTTATTTTCAGTTAGCCACTCGGTACATATTTTCATGTCTGTCTTTATAGCATCTTCGAGTCTTTTTTATCCTTATCTGCATATACTATGGCTGTATCGTCTGCATATAATATGTATCTACCCTTTAATTTTGCATCTTTGAAGTTATTGGTGTATAACAGATATAATAAAGGTCCTAATACAGAACCTTGTGGGACTCCACAAGTTATGGTATGTCCTCCACTTGTGAAATTTCCCACCTCCGTCCTTACCACCCTTTCCATGAGGAAATCTTTAATAATGCTGTAAGACAAACCCACTACACCCAAATCTGTTAGTTTATTGAGTAATATGCCATGATCTACTGTGTCGAAAGCTTTTTGTAAATCAATAAAAATTGCAGCTGTATGCATATTTTCCTCAAGGTGCTGACTGATGGTATTAGTCAAATCTATTAGGGCACCTTGTGTATTTGATGAAGGGAGGGAAACCATACTGATGTTTATCTATTTTTAGTAAATAATATTTATTCTTTCTAGTGCGTGCTGGAGAATCATTGATGAAGCTAGTATCTGACATAAAGCAGTATTTAATTTTAAATGATTTTCCATCCGTCAATGAAGCAATAACGCAAAATTCTAAATTATTCAGAACTAAACAAGCAGAGTGCGACCAGAAACTTATGTCACTTAGAGATGATATGGCAGCAGATTTATATGATTTAGAAGAGGAATATTATACAAGCATATACAAATAGAATAATTTGTGATATTTTTTATTTATTTAATAAAATAATTTAAGTCAATTTTACAAACTTAATTTTTCTTTTTCGTTCTAAACCTGTCTAAAATATTTGCATTTTCCTGTTTAGAATTACTACTCTTGTCAGATAGTTCATTTAATGGATTGATTTCCTTCATTTGCTTAATAAATTCCTATAAAAGAAAACATATTAATATTATAACATAATATTATATCAAAATTAAATTTTAATAATTCAGTGTTTGCTGTTGACACTATATTATGTGGATAAACAAAATGTATTTTAAAGTAAAACTATAAAAATTAATTATTGAAATATAAAATGATTAAAGCTATATTTAAAATTTTTATAACATTATGTATACAACACTTACCTTTTTATGTACTTCTTGTACAATTTTCTTATTTCTAGCAGCTCGAACTGATGCACCTCTCCTCTTACCAATATTTCTAGGTTTGTAGTCAACCTTTGGCGGTTTCAAAAACTGCCAAATGAAAATTGATTAGTAAGAAACATTTTATTATCCTAGTTCAAGGCCTCAATTCTATATAAATTCAAAGCAACAAACTCCAATAGAATATATATCAATTAACCAATACTTACCAGAAGCTTTTTCTTTGCCTCAATTTTGTCCTTTAATGTGGGAACATCTACTTCAGCAATGCTGTTGGGATCAAGTGTAATAAGATCAGCAGGTATCTTTTCAAGCAATGCATGGACCTCGGCCTCTCTTCTTTGAGACTTAGTTTGGAATGGATTACATTCACGAGCATCGAAATTAGGTTCACCGCTTCCTTAAAGTTAGTGAACAAATACATAGTAAATATTAAGTTTATAGAATCAACAACATTTATATAATATTATATAAACAATATTTCTTACTTTACATAATAAATGGCTATACTCACCAGGAACTAATAATGATGTGAAGCCTTTCGAAGCAGAAACACCCAATATATCCTCATGAGGACAAAATTGTAATGTTTGCACAGATGTTTCCATTTTATGGCGTAAATATGGTCGCACAGTAGTGTCAAGAGAAGAATCCCTGAAATATAATTATTATATATGTGAAAATAATTAAAAAGACATTCAGTGTATGTAAAATATGCTAAATACCTGTACACTTCAACAATGTTACCCATGCCAACAGCCATCATATCGCTTTTGTGAGATAATGATAAAGATGTTGGACAACCCCTTAACTTGTAATGCTGTAAAGGACCTGATAGTTTTCTTATATCCCAAAGTTTAATTGATTTATCAACAGCAGATGTTGCCATTTGTCTATATGAAAAGAAAATATAATTCTTGAATAAGAAGAGCATAAAAAAAACTTAATTATCAAATACTAATAAAAGTGATACTTACGTTCCTTGAGGATTTATTGCAACAGATGTTAATGGACCATTATGGCACAACATTTTAGCTAATGGTTCTCTGGTGTTTGGAGACCACATACTGACTACTCCTCGTGCATGCCCAACACATAAAAGTGCATTATATGGATTTTGAGTCATTATATTTAATCTGCCAAGATTTGTATTGTATTTTGTAACTAATTCACCAATTGAGATATCAAGCCAAGATAAAAAACCATCATCACTCTAATAAATAAATGAGATTTTTTTAAATATTTATGGTATATTATATGAGATATTATAATTCATAAAAAAACATATTTCCTTACAGCTGTTGCTAGTAAAAAGTGATAAGGCAAAAATTCCATGCGCTGCACTTTATTAAGGCGTTTGATGCAGTGCAATTCAATTCCTTGATTATCATAAATGTAAACCCAATCTTTTTGAGCCACTGCCATCATTGTTTCTATATGTAGCCAGCTAAAAATTACAATTACTTGTAAAATTAATTAAATAATGATAATTCAATTAAATATCAAAAATAAAAATAAAAGGTATATACAATAAAATCCATATCAAAAATAAAAATATTTGTATACCTTATATCATATATAGATTCCATCACATTGATTTCGCATAATAATTTTTTTGTTACCCAGTCAAATGCAGCAAGATGTCCTCTAAAATATTGAATTATAAGAAACTAATTGATAAATGATAAGAATTTAAATTTGTTTACCTATGCCCGCCTAATAATAAATATCTTCCTGATCTATTGTATTTCATTCTGTAAGGTCCAAACTGATCCAATGTTAACTCAAAATGTTTGGTGGCGGCACTTATATCTACCTAACAGAATAATTAATAATTGTTATTTAACTTATGAATAATATTTTTGTAAATAATTAAAATAAGTTGTATTGTGTAAAAATATTATATTGAAAATTGACTTACCTCTTTTATAATCTGTTTCTGTGTGAATTGTGTAGTTCTTTCGCCATCATCCGCCTCTAAAAAGCTAATTATATATAAAAAGTGTTAATGTAATAGTGAATATTATGATTTGTTTGACATAATAAATATCACAAATTAATACCCTGCCGATTCTGTTAGTAATATCTCAGCATGAGCAGCTTCTTCTTGGGCATTTGCAATAAGTTTTTCTTTTCGCTTCAATTTGATTGCATGATGTTTTGTTTTAATTCCCTTGCCCTCGAGACCTACACCTCTAGAGTGTCGCTCTAGAGATTCTGGATCAATTGGTAATTTTTTTAACTTAGGTACTGGTTTACCGTTCGCAATAGTTTTCTGCAATGTAAAATAATTCTTGTTTAAAATTTCAATATTGGTAAATGTATAATTATATCACAACCTTCTATCACACAGTATGAAACAACTATATTTTGTGTATTATAATTAGTTTGCACTATAAATTTAAAAATTCAATAAAACTTACTGCTTTTGCAGTGAACCTGAAGCCAGATATTATAACTAACTGCACATAATATCATAAAATAACTAAGAAGTTACCTCAAGCAGTTACAAATTTATTACCTTTTTATTCTGCAGTTTTTGACTATTTAACTGTCGTAAAGATATTGGCTTTACTTTGTATGTTAAAACATCATTGGCTGTAAGTGTTTTGCTTATCTTTTTAATTTTATTTTCAGGATTATCAGACTTTCTTCTGGATCTTTTACCTTTGCCTTTTGGTTTAGCATTGTTATCCTTTTGGAAATAACGAGTGTGAACCTAAATTAAAATAAATATTATGAGTATCTACTACAAAAAACAATATACCAAGATAAATAACTTAAATTTAAATTAAAATATAATATAACTCACTTTCGTCATTTTATTTATTTTTTCTTATTGATACAAATAATTAATTAAACATTACTTATATTGATGTCAAGAGGATTGTCAAAAAGTTAACCTCAAAATAAAATCTCACGTGTGTTTACTGGCATGAAATTCGTGCAAGTTTACATGCTATTCTTGATCTACTTTGTTCAAAAAAGTTCTAAATGTCAGAAAAATGTTGAATTAAGACAATAAATAAATAAAATATATATCTTAACCATATTTAAACTAAATAAAAAGTTATTAATCATGTTTGCTGTTCGGTCTTTATTTAGAACTTTAAGCACCAAAAATTATTGTACAAATGCACTTGTAAATGATCCATTATTAACCAGAAGTCTTGACTTTCCACCCATCTACCAAAAACCTAGGCAAGTTTGGATAGAAAATATTGATACACCTGAAGAAAAGAAATTATCTATAATAGACTTACACCCAGATGTATTTGGATTTTCACCAAGAATTGACATTATTCACCAAAATATTACTTGGCAAAGAAAATACCGCTATGTTTCATTTGCTCACACCAAAACAAGAGCAGAAGTTAGAGGTGAGTCTTTGTAAGAATGTTTTATTCTTTCTCGTATTAAGAAAAGTTCTCTAAATAAATGAAAGATGATGTAATTGTCACTTAACCTATGCTACTATGTTTCTGTACAATACAATATGAGGTTCGAGTTTGCTTATTTATTCTCATTAATTTTGCAGGTGGTGGTAGAAAACCATGGCCTCAGAAAGGAATGGGTAAAGCTAGACACGGATCAATTAGATCACCATTGTGGAGAGGAGGTGGTATTGCCCATGGTCCTCGATCACCTACAACACATTTTTATATGCTTCCATTTTTCACAAGAGTTTTAGGATTAACATCAACGCTATCAGTTTAAATTAGCACAGGATGATCTACATGTTGTAGATAGCTTAGATATTCCTTCTGAAGATCCAACATTCATTAAGGATTTAATAGAAGCAAGGAATTGGGGACCTTCTGTACTAATCGTTGATAAGTAAGCTTAATTTTTTTCCTTTTACATAATACTAAGCAATAAATTCGTGCAGTTTCTTTTTACAAATATATTTTCCTGAAATTAGTTACATTAAATTTGCCAATGCATTTTTGTTCCATTGCAGTCTAATTATTATTATTATTTTTTTTTAAATGCACAAAAATTGCTTTACCAACAAATTAAATAACACTTCATTTATCTTTTTTCAGTACTGATTTAATGCCAAGGAACATCACAATGGCAACAGACACAATTAAGCATGTGAATTTGATGCCTGTGTACGGTTTGAATTGTTATTCAATGCTGAAACATGAAACTTTAGTACTAACAACTGCAGCTGTTGGAAAGATAGAAGAAAAAATATTGCATCACTTACATCGGCCTGACGCTAAGTCAGTCTGTGCTAAATTTAAATTGAATCAACAGTAAATTAAATAAACTGTAAAATTGTTTACAGTTAATAATACAAGAATTTATGTACATAATTTAAGAATAAAAGTATTAAATATACCATTTTGTTATTTTATTTCAATACCCAATAGAGAAGTATATTTTACTGCAGTACATGATTTAGGAATTTGAAGATCATGTGAACAAACATTACTTTATTAAAAAAGTTAATTACTTTACAATGGTATTGTATTAAAATTTATGTATTAATTGATAACCAAAGTTATATCAAAAGTAAGTTTGTACCATATATTCATGGAATGCTAAGTTGAGTTAATTTCAAATATATGTTAATGAATTTAAATTTTTTTGAAAGTTGTAACCAATCTGCAATAAAACTAATATTTGGATTGTCCTTTATATTATTTCATTTTATATTAAGACCTTCAACATACACTGTTAGAAAATAATTTATTTTGATAAATTTAAACAAAGCTTTACATTTTAGAAATTTTATTTGCATTAAGAACAATCAGTTTCGAATAATAATGCAAATAGTAATGTGGAAAGTTTACTTTAGCTTCTTCTTTGGGCGCAAGTTGTTGGTGTGTCCACATTTGGTTTTGCGGCAGTTAGTGGCTCTGGGATGAAGGCGAGCATAGCACTTACGGCAGATCATTTTGTCGCAGTTGTATTTTTGAGCCAAAATACGAAGAGAAGGTTCAATGATACCTATAAAAATCACAAATACATTTACTTGAAACGGTCTGATAAAAGTGTATGCAAAAATAAGTGTTTATCAATAAAAGAACTAGTCTCTTAATTATGCAAATTGTAAGAACCATAAAATATAGGGGTTAAACCACCTCTGACATGAGATAGAAAACCTCAATAGCAATTGAATACAAAATGTTACTCTTAATGAGTATTAATTGGATTATTTCTCTAAATCATGGCAACAAAAATCGAGATAGAACATTTAGAAGCAAAACATGAAGCACGTAATAAACATTTTGTTATGTTTTTATACAAACCTCCACGCAGACGCAAAACTAAATGCAAAGTGGATTCCTTTTGGATATTATAGTCGCTCAAGGTACGTCCATCTTCTAATTGTTTTCCGGCAAAAATCAAACGTTGCTGGTCTGGTGGGATGCCTTCTTTGTCTTGAATTTTTGCTTTTACATTTTCGATAGTATCGGATGCCTCCACCTCAAGGGTGATGGTCTTACCCGTCAAAGTTTTCACGAAAATTTGCATGATTACCGACCTATAAAAAGACCAACAGTTAATTGATACTTCACTCAAAGAACATGAATTTATAAAAACTTTAATTTCTCACTATTATTAGTACAACTAAGCAAATTAGTCTGCACCTCACCTTATTACAACGTGGTTCTAATGCAAAGAGAACTTTCGACCGAGGTTATGTTCACACCAAATATATCCTGTACAAAATCAAGTTCGGCAACCTGCAAAATTCAGTGATGCCACCAAAGACAGATTTGACATTTGCACATTTGAAAACTGTTTGGAGAGCATTTTTGACAAATGACAAAATATATAATATTGCCAAACATATCTAATAAAACCACAACTGAAGTTAAATTATTTGTAACATGATGAATACCGATTTTATTTAAGAATAATATAAGCGTATTGTCGTAATACATTTCTTGAATAAACTCATTGTTATTGTTTGATAAATGTGAAAGTTACCATGAATTTCTACAGTAAAAGTTCTGTGAAATAATAGATATTGTTAGATACTGCCGAATATCTTTCACATACAGTTAAAATGAATTTGCAATCTATTTTTCAAGATTTTAATCCTAGGTAATTATTAAACCAATTATTCTTGAAACTGCTTATTCTAATATCTTATTTTATTATATATATATATATATATATATATATATATATATATATATATATATTTGTATGTTTAAACACTTTGTTTATTCTTTTTATTTTGTGCAGGCCAAATTCTTTGCAAGCAGTCTTAATGTTTGCAATATGATATGGCATACTTAACCTTGAAAATATCTATATCGAGCAAAGTCATTTGCTATTGCTATTATGGTTTATAATCTTATGAATATTTGAACAGAAGTATATCTATAAGGCTATCTATTTTCTAAAAGCAAGAATTTAAAACTCTAATATACATTTTTCTTTTTTCTTACAGCAAATTCATAGTTCATTCAAGTCTTTTAACTTTCGTTGTATTATTCGCATTACGTTTGGATGACTGGATAGATTGGTCTTACTGGGCTATATTTTCGCCACTATGGATTTGGAAAGGTTTTGCAATAAGCGGAGCTTTAGTTGGTGGCTATGTCTGGTGGAGATACCCACATTACAGGTTCATATATTTACATAAATTGTTCTTAATTATCCAAGCAAGAATATTTTTTTCTTTCTCTACAAAGTTTCTATTTAAATCTGAAATAAATGAAGATTTCAAGCTACTTGATTTGTTTTAATAGTTATTCGAAGAGTTCTATTAATAAAGGTTTCAAATTCCCTAAGATAATATTAAACTAAGCTATTTAAGTTAACTATTATCAATTATATTATAATTTATATAAATATATGAATAATTTTTAGGTTGGAAGGTGATTCCTACGCACATTTTAAAGCAATGCTTATATCATTAGCATTGCATTTGATTCTTTTGATGTTTGAATTGTTGGCATGTGATAGACTGCATTCTGGACGACATTTATGGGTTTTAGTTTTTATCCCACTAATTTTTGTTAGTGTAGTAAGTGTGGCTGCTTGTGTTTGGGCTGTTAAACATGATAGATCATTCGAGGTGAGTTTGACATTGATATTATTTCTATTATTAAGTGCTCATTCTGATATATTATTATTATAATTTTTATCATATTTAGTTGGAGCTATTCTGTTCAGTTAACGCTCTACAATTTGTTTTCCTACCTCTAAAACTAGATGGATTTGTAAGTTGGAGCTGGGAAGTTGTTTTTGTTCCTTTGTGGATAGTACTATGCTTAAGTCTTGTAGGTAAGTGGAATAATTTATTATTACCATTGTATATTATACCTGCAATCTGTTGAAGCATTCATAAAGTACTCTCCTTACAGGTGTACTATATAGCATAATTTTTTGTGGAATATTATTAAGAACTCCTGAGATATCCTCTCAACAATCTCGATCGGCTATGTTTACTGCTATAGGACATTGTTTTACTGTTTTACCTATATTGGTTTTTCAAGTAAATATGGAATATTTTAAACAATTCTTTCAAAATAATTATAAATAATAATCCTTTGTAGGTATTATTAGCTGACAAACTTGATGGTGGTCTAAAATGGCCTTTCTGTGTTGTAATCACGCCTTTAATTTTGGCATTAATCACATTAATTCTTCTTTCATTTGGTTCAAAAGGAGGAAACAAATGTAAGTATACATGCAACGAGTATGTAAAGTACTTTTGATTAACCCTAAAATGAATTGAAATATAAATCATGCACCTCATTTCTGTATACAATATTTAAAATAATTTTTGCCTGTTTAAAAAATTTTAAACATATAAAAAATTTTGATAGACTATACAACGGGTAAATATTAAACAGTTAATTCTGAATCTTTCTTGATGAAATATTGAACAATAACAATATCAATCAATATAAAGCCAAATATTCACTAAATCTGGTTAATTATGCATTAATTCTAGGGTGGTTTGGAATAAGGAAGGACTTCTGCCAGTTTCTATTGAGCACATGTCCTATATTACAGGAATATGCAAATATTGCTTACCATAGCGACAATAGATCGGACAGAGAAGATGGGAGCAAAAATGAAAGGAAAATGGATAAACGTTTAAAAAAGAGTGAAATTATGAAACCAGTTGTACCTATTGTTAGTATAGAAATGCCAGATTGATGTAGAATTATATCATTTTTACTTTTCTTGACAAAATAAGATACAATGCTGATCTTCATAGGATGTTTTTGTTTCTTTAGGAAAATATTTAAATTCCGGCTAAATGAAGAAGCATTATTTTTTGTACAAAAGCATTGTTATATTTTTTATTTCCTGAGTAGGACCTTTATGATGATTACTATTATGTATTTAATGATATAAGCATATGTTATCAACTGTAAGTTTGAGATTGTAAATAATTGTGTATAAATCTTTAGGAAATAATGTTAAATAGTAATAAGAAACAAATACTAGGGCTGAGAATTTTTTCAATATATTTTATTTATTTTTGCTATGAATTATTAATATTGTCAAAGACTGGTCACCTAGCTTGAACCAGAAACTAATTTTTCAACCTAAAGTGTTATTTTGAAAAAAATATACTCGAATGAATCTGATTTTCAAGTTATGAAAGGCTTTCTTAAGACTGAAAAATTCAATCAGTAGCCTAATGTTAACTAATTTGTTACATTTTAAGTATTCTAAATTATGTTAATTGCACAATACAAAACATTGTACATATCGAAATGAAAAAAAAGAGGTGCTAAAATAAAATTACATAGTATTGAAGTCTATTCATGGATTTTATTTTAAACTCCACATAACATATCAGAAAACTATAGTCAATAAAAATCATTGCTCAATGATTGTTTAATTCATGTTTTTTGTTAGCTGCTTCTTTCACTTATGCACCAAATTTGCATTCAGTTATTTTTATACTAAACATTTTATACTAAAAATATTTTTATATAAATATTATATATATATATATATATATATATATATATATATTCAATTTTTACATAATATAATTTACATGCATGATATTAGTTTTCACACCAAATCTTTTAAAATACTTATATGGCACTCCCGCCATAGCATCTTAGCCTCACCTGGTAACCAGATTAATCACGCGATCGATTTTTTGAGAATTTTTGAACCCCCTCCCTCTTGGTGATTTGTGGTGATATTCAAAATTATCTCCCCACTTCTCCCAACATTTATAGTTACGAGGAAAATTGTAACTAGTTGGTATTGGTATTTTGCCTTGAGGCAAGTTACATGAGCTTCCCGATATGTATAAATAAATTAATTTATGAGTGGTTAAAAGTATTTTGAGCGGATTTATTACACATTATTGAAAACGAACGAACACGTTAACTCGGAGTATTCTCTAGAAGCAAATATTCACAAATCAACAATTTTTATAATTGAACTAGTTTCCGTAGGACTTTGATGGTTTAGTATGTTCATTTGGACCAAGTACTCTATCGTTATACCAAGTGAATCGTCTAATTTTAATTTTAACAAACGTCAAACAAACTACTCATTTTCTCAAACTTTGATGAATTTTTAAAATTAAACAACTTGTCGTAAGGCCGTAATATTTCAGTAAGATCTATAAGACCATGATATATATCGAAAAAAAAGTTCCATGAAAATCGGCTTAAATTTTTTTTCAACAGTTAATTACAAGAAAACGGCCCGGTATATTTTCACTCAAAACTAATCAGTATCATTCCCAACTAATATCTTTCGAACGTTTTTTGATTTTTTAAAATCGATTCGGTAGTTTGAGCTTAAATGTGGACGAAAAGTTTAACACTTTTTTCCAAATTACAAAGAAACGGCTGAGCAGATCGTCGCACAAAACTGAGAAACGATAATCCTCATCGAGTTACATCAAATAGCATTTAAATTTCTGAAATCGGTTCAGGCGTTTTTGAGAAAACGTCGATGAAAGGTCTAATTTTGACAAATGCCAAAAAAACGATATTAATTTTTGCAAACTTTGAAGAATTTTTAAATTTAAACAACTTGTCGTAGGGCCATAATATTTTAGTATGATCTATAAGACTATGGTATCTACTACTTTATTACAAGCAAACGGCCCGGCCGATCTTTCCAAAAACTAATCAGCACGATTCGCAACCAATAATCTTTCGAACAGTTTTTGAATTTTCAAAATCGATTCAGAATTGCGGGCTAAAACGTGTTGAAAATGATTTACAAAGAAACGGCTCGTCGCGCAAATATGATAGTCCTTAACGAGATACATCGAATGGCTTTTAAATTTTTGAAATCGGTCAAGCCGTTTTGGAGAAAACGTCGATTTACGGCAAAAAATCTGTTCACATACACACACACACACATACATACTTTTTCCAAATTTGGTCTCATTCGATTCAGAATGGCTTGAAACGTCGAGAGAACATAAAATTAGCGAGTCGGATTTTTTGATGAAAACATAAACTTCTCCTTCGGGAATTCTAATCTTTTTTGAAATGCTTGATTTAAAAAAAAAAAAAAACAGATAAATTCATAAATACACGTGATATTTTACTATACCCTTCCCTCCCTCACGTGATATTTCGTGAATTTTTGTCAAACCTCCCCTTCTCCTAAAAACATCAAATGATTATCGGACGCCCCCTAAGTGCTTAAGCTGGGCAAAACAGCCTGGCATTACACATACCTTTTTAAAATCACTTAGACAAACACATAAATAAACTTTAACATTATAGGCAATGTTTATTTTAAAGCATATACAGCATCATTTGTTCATAAAAGTGAACCTTTCGGCTCGCTATTGTATAGGTTGAAAAATCGTACGGCCATTTGGTTCTTGAATTCCTCAATAAATAAATAAAATCGTTTAAAAATTGAAGCTTACAGAAACATATTTGTTTTTGGGCTAAATTTAATTTAGCATTTTCAAACTCCTGGTAATTGATGTTGTGCAGGTCTGAAACCTGCGCAGGCCATGCCATGCCATGTGAAGGTTTTCATAACTTGCATGCTAATAATTACCATTGCAAAACTTTTCAGCTTTATAGGAACAACGTCTTTCAAAACATTCAGTAGCATTCAGTCTCTGCCTATAAGTATTAAACATCGAAAATTAGCGAATCGAACTTTTAGACGAAAACATGAACTTCTCCTTCGGGAAGTTAAAAATTGTCAAATTTTTAATGAGCGTTATTTGCGGTTTACTACACAAGAGCGTGAATAGCTGCCGTTCTATTTAAAGCTCGGCCTATGCTACATGGCAATTTAGAGACAAGATGAAAACTTGTGCCGTCAACAATAAATAAACTGATACTGTGACAATCTAGGGCAGGGTTAAGCGTCATCGACGTTGATGAAAAAGCCAAATGTCTTTTTTTAGTTCAGGTTCAACGTTTATTGCATCTTCTCACCTTAGCCTCGCGAACACTTTTTCTGCCGCGTTCGTATCTGTTTATTTTAAACAATGTCATACAATTTATGATGCCGGGCGTTGTTTTTTTAACGAGGTGCCAGGTGGCTTTAAGATTTATTTAATTTCTGTGGATATTAGCTGCACATACGTAAATGAAATAAATCACACAATCTCTTGAAAAATAGTATGGAAAGTGTAAAATTTGATTGATCAATGTAAAGACAGTGAAGTAATCACATCATTTTCATAATTAGGCACGATATTGATTAAATAATTAAAACCATTTGAATTTTTTAAATTTTTGTTTACATTAGTTATTATTCTGAATAAAATACAATCATATTAACTTTAAAAATTAATTAGCTGTAAGTGGAATTCTGTCTTGAGGCAATTATGGCATCGTGCCTTAAGGCAAATTGCTGGAACTTTCCGTACCGTAACGAAATGTTCGAGGAATACTGAATGTTTTCAAATAGATTATTATAAATATGGTAACATTGTCTAATATTTAAAAGAATGATATAAACTGAATTGCAAAGTTGAAATTATTTGTAAAGTATATCAGAACTATAGTCAGAATTAAAAATAAAATCTGAATTATTTTCGATATACAAAAAAAAAAAGTTGAAACAATTTTTTTTTTCCAAAATTAATTATTTTGTTAAGACAAGCAGAAAGTTCTTTGAATCATTTAAATCGGACGCTTAGTTCTCTCAAATTTTTTTTACATATTTAGCTCCGTATCTTCGAAATGGCTGGGCCTGCCTTCGCCAACTAATAAACACTTCTTCCAATCATTACTAATTGAATGTTTTTTAGATCATTCAAATCGGATACTCCGTTCTCTCAAAAAGTCGATTTCTATTTTCTGCACTCTTTGCTCCGTATCTCCAAAACGGCTGGACCTGCCTTTGCCAAAAACTAATCAGCTCCTTTCCCTATCAATAGGAATCGAATGTTTTTTGAACCATTCAAATCGGTTGATCCGTGCGCCCGAAAACGTGACTGGAAATTTGTATCCATACATACATACACACACACACACACACACACATCCATTTTTTCTGAGGTATGCCAAAATGTTCAGAAACCTTCAAAACGTCGAGAAATGTAAAAATTTTCAATTCCGATTTTCGGCCCATTACAATAACTTACCCTACGGGAAGTTAATAAATACTGGATATAAATTGATAATCTGGAGTGAATTTTTTATTATTGATTATTGAATTTTACCAAATATTCTAGTAGGCCCCGTGGTGTTTTGTGTTTTTATCACCTGTCAATTTGGACGCAGTTGATGTAAACCTAGAGCAATATATATTTTCTTCCGTCACTTAATGACTTATCACACATGGCGTAATGAAAACAAACATTTTGTTAAATATAAAATATGGATACTCTGAAATATATCAAAAATGGAAGAACCCCATTATAATAACAACTTTCAATCAAACTCACTTGCTGTAATTCTGTATGAAAACTAACTGCCAGTTATGTTTTTATAAAAGTTTAATGTCTTACATACAAACTCAACAATGAAACGAAAGTAAAATTAAATTTTACAATTGAGAAATTTTTGTAATATTATTTTTCTCCATTTGTTGACTTTACTTATCCTCACATTGTTTGATACTATATATTGGACAGAGTAATATTTTGTTGTTAAATATGAAATTACTTTATTACTATGATAAATGTTAAAAAGTTTCAGCGATAAACACGTGTTATGAAAAGAAAATATTAATAGAATATTTACCAGTTAACTAATTAAATAGTTTGCGACTAGAATATAAAGCGCACTACGATTCCCTATTGAAATAATAATAAATCTAAAAACGTTTATTATTTTTAAGAAATTTTTCACAAATTTAATTTAATTTACAATTCTGAGCTCAAAAACTGTTGTATATATAACTGCTAAACTATTCGTATTAGCTATGAAATGGTAGCGCCAAACTATAGACTTTCTATCCTAAATATGTCTACTTATTAGGAATTTTATTTTAGTAAAAACTTAACTCTATAAAATTTGTATATTTTGAACCACTTGAA